TGCATACTTTGACCCATTGAGAAGGCAATACCCATCTGTAAATTCACACTAAATACTCAAGTGCTGGCAACTGCCTCCACATTCCACTACCAATGAACCTAGAAGAATTTCAAAGGGCATAAACAAAATACCTAAAAAAAATTTTAATAATGTATACCTTAGCCTAATCAATATTTTATTAGGAACATGGTTTAATTAGTACAGAGAAGAGAAATAACATTTTAGAATATTTGTTAGCATATTTTCTCTTATTGTTTTATTTAGATACTTGTCATGAACCAAAGTGAAAATGAAGAGCACATTGTGAAGTAACATTGAGCTACTCACAGTGAATACACATTCCCTTCTTTACTGATTATTTTATCAGCTCTATTCTGCTAATTGCAGCACCTGAGTTATTCCCATTGCTACAGATGGACAAAAGTTACTCAGAGAAACTATTTCAAGCAAATTTTTATTCAAAACTATAAGCCTCGGAGGAACTGCTCACTATCCTTTTTATCCTCTCTCCATCTCATTAATGAGAAGTAAATTCCTGCAGTATCAGGATAGGAACTAAACTTCAAAAGATCAAAATTCGTAATGTGTTCTCAAAGAGAACAATTAAGTCAATTAAAATTACCTGGTTTTTTTGTAAGGGAAAAAAGGATCATGCTCACCCATTTATTTCCAATATAACCATGCCATGCCTGAAAAAGAGCTACTGTTTATGGCATATAGTGTCCATTATGTATTCATAATGTAGTATTAAATCATTACATTTTTAAGTAAGTAAAACTGGCCTTATTTTGTGCAATAGGGTTTAATAGTCATTTTACAAAATATCACAGTGATTCAGTTTTTGCAGTATCATAAAAGCAGCATATAAACTGATAAATATTAATATATTGTATTAGAAGCAGCTAATCCAAACCAATAAATTAGTTCTCCCCTCTTGACAGGCAGGCAACAACCCTGAATAATTGAATAATGTCTTGTGTCTTCCCAGCACTTCCCACCTCATGGCCTTCTGCTCTCCACTGAAACCTTCCAGGCTAACTCTCATATACATTGCACATGATTAGAAACTTTGAATCAAACCACATTAGAGAGATTAACTATCTACCTAGGGGGAAAAAGCAAAATCTCTGTTTGAGACATTGTAAATGGATGATCCCAAGATGAAGAGCTACTTTAAATAGTTAAAAATATGTAGAGTACTTCCTGCCCCTATGTATACCAACACATATATAAAATAATTCCAGTTACGCTGTTAGAAAATATCACAAAGAATATGAAGAACAAAGGCCAACTAAATGTGGGCTGTGATATTAAAGTACAGGTGCTGAAAGCATACACTTTCAGAGATAACTTTCAAAAAAAAAAAAACAGGAATGTCCAAGTTACTGTCCATAAACTTCCTTGTGGATCTCCTTCTGTTTCCAAAAGGTTGAATTTTATCAGTTTCCCTGTTGAAACAGACCCTACTATTTCAAACTAATTCACTTATTTGGCAAATTTATTTTAATTTATAATCCTACTTTCCAGGATGTTTTTAAGCCTTCCCAACCTTGCCATTATCTGGGTGCATAACAGATTCTTTCTTGAGGACACTGATGAAAGCCTCAAGCACATGACAGATCCCTACCAGAGCCTACTGGAAACATTTCCAATTTCACCATGAATCACTGATTATTACACTTTTACATAGGCTTCCAATCAAATACTTCTCCATGTAGTAGCAATTTCCTAATTCCCACCAACTCACTAAAGGGAAATCTTTTGAAACAAAGTTCTCAATATCAATATGTTGCTACTGCTCTTCCATTATGCATAATGTATGTTTTCCTGTCATCCAAGACAAATCAGTTGTCTTTGGCATTACTTTTGATAAATCCACATTGGGTGTTAGTGTAGTTTCCCTCTCTATATTTAGAAATAGCTGATGATTTTTTAAAATACAGCTTCCAAATAATTCTTTGGGTTTTGCAATATTTTTTCAGAAACTACTATAACAATATGAAACATATTTCATTCTCTCATTTCACTTTTTTGGCAGGAAGATTTGCCCTTCCCCAATCTCCTGAGAGATCCCAAACTTTGCTAAGAGACTCAGGAATCCAGGCAGGGTCACTTTCATCATTGACAGCCAATGTGAAAACATTTTTTAGTGTTTCAGTGTGAAACAATTCCATTTTTAAGAAAGTTTTATAAGCAAGTAAACCTCAGACACACAAGGACAGACTGACCACTTTTAGGATTGATGTGATAGAGCACATCAACTTTTTTGTTATTTAAAATTACAGCTTTTTGATAATTCTAATTTAAATTAGTTGTTTGAAAGAATCAATAGCCTCCTGAATAAGGGTGACAAACAAGCTGACACAGCCAGCTTGGGCTTCCAAAACCATTCCTTCAGAAAGGCTCCTCTCCAAATGCTTACAAGAAAAGTAAGCAGCAGTTACGTAAGAGCATGGGTGCTTTTATACACAAGTATTTGATTACAAGAGAGGAAATAGCAGAAACACATGGTTGACTCATAAAACCAACCGAAGGTCCCTGGAGTTTTGCTGGAACCTGTGGCTGGGGTTTGTGCTGACTGACATTTCCTAAGTAACCCAAAGAATAGGGTGATCAGTATGATGACTGATTTTCCTCATAGTGTTTGGCTATTCAGGGCAATAAAGACAAAAACCAAATGCAAAGAAGAATTTTATATGACTAAGCACATAGTCAGAGGCTGGCAGATGAAATTCAGGGAGATAAAAGTGGCACACAAGTGAAAAAAATCCCACCTATAAGGATAATAAACTGGGATCTGAACTGGTTAAAATTAATGGTGAGGTTTTTACCAGCTATGATAATATTTCCATTAAGATATTAGCTTAGTACTCAGTAGCAGCAAAAATAAAGGCATCCAAAACTGGAAAGAACAAAGTAATTGTTAGGAATGTCTGTGAGAGACATACTGAATAAAAGGGCAAACGCTACATCAACACAACTCATTTTACACCCTATCAAAAATATCTTGTTTTGGTCCCTTGCCTCAAAAAAAAAAAAAAATCCCAAACATGTAATGTATCTGAAAAACATCATGTTACTGTTTCACAAGGAATTATCACACATGGTAAGACACTCCTGTCTGGAAAAGAGCTGAGGGAAGGATGTGATGATGGCACTATAAAGTCCTAAGTGGGACTGAGACTGGCACCAGACATCAATTATTTACTGCTTCTTTCAGTACAAGGAGCAGGAAATACTAGCAAAAGCAGCCAAAGTCTAGTGCAAAACCAAATGAAAACAGTGGTTTCTCACAGGTAGGTTATGCCTGTGGACACTGGCATTTTAAACAGGTCCAAAAGTAACTGAATTTAAAGTTCACTGAGTTACTAAGCACAAAGAAACAGCAGCTGGGTCACAAGGAGCACTCTCTGGGGATACCGCTGTACTACTTATCCTCTTCTGTGAATGTTTGGACACTTAGCAATGGAACAGAGCTACCCAATGTCTGTGTATTATAGAGGGAGGATTCATGTCAAATATACACATAGGGCAAAATACGTTGCTTTTGTCAGGTTCACTGTTACGAGAAGACAAGACAGTTTGTCAGAAAGATACAACATGAATGAACTGGTAACTGAGTTACTAGTTTACTTTCCCTCAAGATAAGCAAAACTAGCTTTTAGGGAGAAAAACCAAAGCAGAACCTCATTGGTGCATGACAAAGTCTCTTAACACCAGATTCAAATTCCAAATGTCAGTATAAGATATTAATGTGACATTTCCATAAGAAACACAGTCTATTTCTCCTCCTAAGGTGACACCAACTACCACCATTAAAGTATCTAACCAACGAAGTTTTTGAAAAACAGAACCTCCACCATGAATCTTTTTGTTAATATTGGTTCTAGCAGCATCCTAGTGCATCTGCTATAAATAAATAATCAGCAACTACTATCATCAGTCTGGATACAAAAGTTATACAAGACAGTCATAAATTAATTCATTGGACTGAATTCCTGATGACAACCCAGCCAGTTTCCCACTGAAGTAACTGGTAACAGATTTGCCAGCTCTGTAGATATTTAGGTTTATGACATGCCTAAAGGTGGAAAGTTTGCTGAGAAGCTCTAATTGATCACAAACTTAGAAGTAAATTTAAATTCTCAGTTGTTGCTGCCTGCCAGCAAAGAAGTTTAGATTTGGAATCTGGAAGTGAGAGAAACACAGGACTGTGTTTTTGTCTGGGGAAAGTTAACAGATGGTCTAAAAAGGAGCAGCTTTAAAGTAAGACCAGAAGCCAAAAAGTGTGTGGAAAAAGGAAGGATAATTTTTTTAATCTATTCTGTGCTGTTGTTTCATATCGTTTTGTATATACAGCTGTATATTTGATATAGCAAAGTCTCAAATTTTACTTCACAGATTTATCCATCCAGACTAAAATATTTGAATCTTTTTATAACTTCAGGAAAATAATGTTACAATGTGAATAGAAGTATTTGAAATACATATTTACAAAATACTCATTTACTACAATGCAGGTCTCCGAAATGTTATTGAAAACTTCATTCTGTAATGCAGAAGTACAGAAAGCTGAATATGAGGATTTTTCTTCTTTTAACTTTAAAACTGTTAATTCCCTGTACAGCTTAAACAAAATATGCCTCTGGATATTTATTTACATTTCTTCAAAAGTGGCTCATTTACCTCTTCAGAAAATGCTGCCAAGACAACATTTAGACAGTTGCAACAAAAACCCTAGAGAAAGTTTCAAACATAAGAGAAAGGGTAACAACAATTATTTTATCCATCTAAAATGTGAAGGGATGCTGCATGAAGGAAATTATAACCTGCATTTGGATTCTTATTAGTGTGCTTTCCTGCAGTTTAGCTGTCAGGAGCAGATATACCAAGATATAAAATTCTTGTGGCAAATATCAAACTTGTGCTAGCAGTACCAAAAGCAAAACATCAAGTGCTAGGTTGTAAATCAAGACAAAGAAACTTTCATAATTACTTACCTGATTTTCTTCATGGGAAACTCTCATCTGTTCTTTAAGAACTGACATTCTGGCTGCTTCTTCTTTCCTCAATACTCTTTCTTTCTTTAGCTCAGGACTCCAGAAGGTTTTGATGCTGTTCATAGAGGACCCCAGCTTGCTGTCCTTAATGTCCAGCTCTTTTCTGAGAAGGTCATTCTCCCTCTGTAGATCCTTAAGCTGAGCCTGCAGATCTAACATGGTGCTATCCCTAACCTGTCTCAGCATGGAAGGAACCTGGTGGTGGTGGTGGTGTGAGGATGTGGTCAGCCCTCCATGCTGGTCAGTGTAAGAAAGAACATCTGTATGTGACAGTCCAGCAGAAGCAATATTGGGGCTGCTCCCCATGGCTGTGACTCGGCCACCATACACAGCTCGATTTGTAGCCCTTCCAAGAGTCATTGTGCCCTTTGGGAAAGTAGTAGAAGCCACACCCTCGTGGTCACTCAGGTACATTGGTCCAGATGTTGCATAGGCTGCGTTAAGGGACTGGATGTTCTCCATGGACAACGTCTTCCCTGTGCCCCCTCCTCCCCCACTGCTGGTTCGCCTGTGGCCCAGGCGAGGGGACCTTGGCAAGCGGGGAGACCTGGAGGGACTTCCTTCCAAGTTGCTGATTGTTCTTGCACTTCCATACATTTTTCTTCTACTTTGAGGTACTATTTAGTAAGAAACTAGTAACACTAAAGTTGAGTGTTAAATTAATAATTCCGGCTAGAAATACTGGCAGTTTCACTGCATTCTTCCAGTAGGCAAAATCTGGTTTTCCTCCCAAGACAGACCTGAAAAATAAATATTATAAGGTTAAGTCTTTATTTTGGAAAATAAACTTATAAATAACCACCATATATCATAAAAAACATCTTCCCAGGATAATAACTACAAAAATAAAATCTGCTATACATTTTATAACTAGGATGATTAGTTAAAAATGCATTTTCAAGATAATTTCAATCAAAATAAAACCCATAATTTCTTTCTGGCTAGAAAACTTCAACCTCAAGCTTGTTAAACTAAGTTGGAATGAACAACACGGGCCCAATAACATACCTTAGCTGCTATGTTAATGGACTTAAATGACTGACAATATGAAATTTATATTAAGAAAAATATTGTTGGCATAAAGAACTACCCTCTTAAAGCCTCCAGAATTCATTCCTAAGACACACAGATAAAAGAATCTTGTTGATTTACTCTTTCAAGTTTTGGCATTTTAACATCACTGTCCAAATCCACCCCTCTTTTCAGCTGTCATGCAGCAGCATTCAAGAGATGACCCACAGCTTCTTCCACCACAAGAACCTGTGCAGCTTTTCTGCCATCTCAACTTCAACACATTAACCAATTAAAAAAAAACTTCTCATCATGGTGACTGGGGCAATGCAACTGGTAATCCTGATTCTCAAGTGCCAGCCATTCTCTGGCCAAATAAGTCAGCAAGCCCTCTGAGAAATCCATCCTTGTATCTTTCTAGTTTCCTGAAATAGTTCTGTAGCTCCTTCATAGACAAATCTCCCATGAGACCGGAGCTGAAGATCACTTTCCTTCCACGAGCCCCTGGTAGATGCTGAACAAAAGCAATAAAACTTCAAAATTGACAGAATTTGCTCCACCCTCTTGCTCACACAATCAAAAAACACAAACACCCCATAAAAAACATTACACTCTGGTCTGGTGAAAAAACAATACTGCTGGCAGGAAATGCCAGTGTCAATTTAAACTGCACACAATAAAATATTCCTAAATACAGTAGATATGATACACGGCCAGGTGGTGGGGTTGGGTACAAATTTGTTGAGCCTCAGAAGCAGAGGTACAGAATATTGTATCTTATGTCCATACCTTTTTCTTTCCAGTCTGATAAATCAATACATTTCTTGCTTAGAGTTACTTAACTTACTTAGCCTTCTGTTTATGTCTCTGATATATATTTTTAGGTACTTGTTTTGCCTTTTAGAGCTTATTATTTGTGGTCTTTTCTCAACTTATGTGAAGTTTTGGAAGTTCTTATCTCGTATCAGAGAACACTTATCTTGCTTAGCACTCCAGTGCTTACCATTGAGCTCTACTGAAAAAAGGATCCTCATTCCTTATCCAAAAAGAGGGTAAATTCTCACTGAACTTCTTAAACAATGTTCAAATGCTGACTGAACATTGTAACTTCCATAAGCTTGGGAAAATTCTGAAAGCAACAGGAAAACCATCAACCAGTGTTATTACCCACACAGCATTTCCAGTTTCTTTTCCCCCTAGAAGTATTCTAATCAAACCAGAGACCTCTGTGTTGTAAACACAAACACCCTGATGATATGCTTGATTTTCTTACTTTTAATGGGCTATTAAGGACAGGTCATAGACCAAAAGCTCAAAACCCTGACTTTAAAAAATTCTTAGGGTTTCTCCACTTTCATTTGTAGTTTGTTACCATCTACAACCTGAATTATACAGACTGGCTTTCCTGTAAACACCTCGGAAAAAGGCAAGCACATGAAAATATGCTTTTTCAACATGTGCACTTCTTAAGGATAAAACTTCCTTTATGGCTGTAAAGTCTCAGACATAGTAGAAGCCGGACGCCGTTGCTTTATGAAAGAGGGGAGAAAAAGCACCTACATCATTTTCTGCTCGTCACTGTTTTTACATGGAGCCTTCCTAGCTTCAGGAAGATTTACTGTGTGTCTCAACACATCAGGAATTGGAGATACAAAGAAGAAGCATCAGCCTCAGGACCTCAACAGCTGCCACACAGGTCATCATCTACTGCCTGGAGAAAGAGAGGAGAGAGCCTATCTTCCAACAGAACAAGCTGACAGAGCCATCCTAGCTGAACTTAGAGTGGACAGGTGAGATATAGACAGTTCTACTTTGAAATGTAAGTTTATTTTATCTTGCTATTTTAATTGGACAGGGAGCCAGAAATCCTAATACTCTCAAGTATTCTTTATTCTTTACCAAAGCTGTAGGTGTTGCAGTAGCCAGGACAAAGGAGGCACAAAGGTCATATTCCCCTAAAACCTTCTCTGAGAAAAAAGTCACCCATCTTCATGCAGTCTGGTAGGGACAGACTGCAGACCTACTACACATATTTTTCTATGAGAGTTGAGTTTTAAAATCCAAATCAGCTTAGTACTAGGAAAAAAAAACAAACAAACCAGATGCTCACCTGCTTGGCTCAATATTTTCTTATTTTAAAGAAATGCCTTCAATGTACATGATGTAAAATTAACCATTATAATAATGAGTTTATTATTCTGCATTACAAACAAAACTATATTTTATGTGGATCTCTTTAGGGTCCAGAAAATCAAGTATGCATTCTCAGCTGGGAGCAGGAGGACAGGAACTAGACACTTTGTCCCATGCTCTCATCAGCCTTGAAAACCCCAGCAGACCTGACCCCATTCATGCCAGAGTGCCCCTGACACCTGTTACAACTTCAGCTTGCCTCATTCACATTCCTGCCCCACCTGATCACCTGCATTCTGCACACAGCAACATCATGGGCTCACATTACCCACATGGCTGAAGTCTGACAAGCCATTTTGTCTTTTAGCTTTCTATTTTTTGAGAAACCTGGAGCATAGGATTCTAATAGGGATGCTACTGGAAGACCTCACTCAATTTAGTTTCCAAATCCTTACTTCTACATTTAATATAATTACAGAGTTTGCTTGAAATACCATATACACAGTACCCTGTAAGCTCTGATTTTCACTGGTTACACACTCTTACATGCTGAGGATGATTTAGGCTTTTAGTGTCCCCTCCTGTGGCCTGAATCACCTAGTCAGCAGGAAGTTTGGGTATCAGCCAAACACTTAATAGCTTTGCACAACTACTTGCCAATGTTAACATTGAGCCAAGAGCTCAAACATTTGTAAAAGTACCAAAAGCTTTAAGGTAACCTCTTCTTTCGAGCTTACCTCCCCAAGCAATATATGGTGACAGTCAAGCACAGAAATTATCAATCCAATTGCAAATTGTCTAAAGCTGTTTAGTACCATACAGCTCCCCACAATAAACTAAAAGAAGCAAAAGAGGAAAAAAAAAACAAAAAAAAAAATATTCCGTAGAACACAATGCTCGTATTTTCTCTGCCAGGACTGCACTTTGAGACACCACAAAAGGAGGGAGATTGACAGAAAAAAATCTGTTCCATAAAAGCATGTCCTAGCAAACAATGATTTCTTTCTTTTGATAACATCTTTAAAATACTCTCATTTAAAACACAACATCTCTGTACACAGAAGACTAGGAGCACGTGTGTATTAAAAGTAGTGACTAAGAGTCAGAAATATTTCTAGCAATTTCTTCTGTTTTACCTAGGTTTTCTACTGCTTTCACAGTGGCACAATACATTCTCACAGCAGAAAATATTCTTTTCTTCACGTTTTTTTTTTCCTATCAGTGCTGATGTAAAAGAAAAAAAAAAGCAGCTAGTTGATATAAACTAGATACGGAAAACCCAAATCTGTTGTAGAGTATCCTTCCTTTCTTCATTAATCTGAGTAAGCAGCCCAGCACATCATCTTTTAATAAAGTGAAAAAAAAAAAATATATATATATATATATAAATACAATGCTCTTCATATGGTGTTAGTACAAGGCCAACATTGTTTCTATTAAAAGGACAAAGTACTCTTTTCCTGCTTACCAGGCTGACCAAGTAACTTCTTCGCCCCCACATTTTTTTTAATCCGAAAAAGAAAAGAATCCATTTCTTCCTGCTACTCTACTATTCCTTAAAAGTTTGAAAAAGAAAGGGCATATGACAATTTCAAAAGCAACATTTTCATTCAGGTTGCTTATAGTGTCCTAAATCTGCATTTCTTATGCAAATTTAAGATTTACTACAGTCTGCACAGTACATTTCTTTTTACTAGTAACAGACATCAATTTATTCCCTCTCTTGTAGCTTGTTGTAAAAATTACACATATGTAGCTATAAATAAATTTAGTTCCAAAGCCTGTTTTAATCTTGTGAGCTGCTCATGTCCCTGAACTCCCATCAGTGCTTCATGGAAGAACTGGCATTTATCACCTCATAGGAACAGCTCACAACAGGTCTGCCTGCCTTTCATTTCTCTTTCACACAGAAGAAAATATGAAGGCAAAAGTAGGAGTGGCTGCTTAATATGCATCTAATGACATATGTGGAAAATAAAGTTGTCAGGCATTCTAATGCTGTCAAGTGCAGTGACAGCAATGAATACTTGTCATGCAATCAGGAAACTCCACCAATTGAAATATTTGCTCAAAATGCCATATTAAAAATATTGAAAAGCAAGCAGTTCTGACACCATTATCAGGACTGTCAATTATATTACTCTCAAATATACTTAAGTGAAGGGTCAACAATACATTTTTAACTCTTTTATACAAGTTTCATGGGTTTAAAACAAGCCTAGTGTTCAATAAAGGTGCATTTCTTTCAAAGCATTTTATTTTATTATAATGTTTGAGACATTATAATTGTTTTAAAACATCATAATAGTTACAATTAGGCTTTAAATAATGTAAGTAATATTTAAACTCTGCCAGTTGGCATCTCCATTATTTTATAACTTTTAAGTTAGGTCTCTTTGTTGCTCAAACTCTTAACATTTTATCTCTAACACTTCCATTAAAATGATTATTTCCTGCAGTCCTGCATGTGACAAGTCTTCCTGGGGTTTCTAAGATACTTAAGGAAGGTGAGAAATTTCAAGTTTGTTTCATCTGATTTTTCTGATGTCATGTAAGATATTAACAGCCTGAAAACTGAACATTAAAAAAAAAAAAA